TTCAAGAATTAGGTATTATTGTAACTACTTAACTCAGATATTTTTTTCAAATCATCTAGTGATAGGTATGTGTTTGGTTTTTATTACGTACAAAGTTATAGGTGAATGGATATCTTTATAAAATAGGTAAGTAGTAGAATAACATGATGTTTTGAACAAGCATTAAAAGTTAAATTAAGTCAAAATACCACGAAACTAATAGAGATAAGGAAGTTTAGATACACTATGTATATAATAATTTATATCAGAAGTACACAAATTTATAAATATTACCGTTAAGCAAGTACATGGGTATTAAAGAAAAGTTCAGTAGTTAGACCTAGGTACCTACCTAAATATCAATAGCTAATATCAGATTAAAAATTAATGATGAGTAGGATCAAAGTACTTAGGTATTTAATTGTCATTCAATTAGGTATGTAGGCAGTCATGAAATCAGCTGTGCTGTATTATATAAAGATTTTAAAAAACGCATTGAACATGACATGTTGTGCAACATGAATACTAGGTAATGGAATGCACAGGCATTAAAGCCATTTCATTTTAATTCAATAAACAGTGAACATTAACAACTGTGATTTAACCAAATTACAAAAATAAAACTTATTAGTTGTTTTAACATTTCACCAACACATTATAGGTACTGGGATCGTTAGTCAGTAAAATTCACTGTTTTTATTAGTTCTCAATTTGAAAATACAGAGATGATTGAAATGCCAATATTCCAACCCCTTTCCCTCCAAAAAATAATATCTGCATTGGATATTATAAACTCAACAATTCTTTATTTTAGAGTGAAACATCTATCAAACGTCCAGAGTTCAGACGTGTGGGTAGGCATCTGAAGATCTTACATATTACATAATGACTACCTACCATCTGTTTCTTTCTCTCTGACCATTTTCATTTCACACTATTGAGGTAGGTAGTAGGCATGGATATTACTAAACTATAATATCATATTATATGATATGGGACAAGATATAAGGGCGGAACTCACTCGTYGACGTATTGTATATTATTCTTGTAAGGTACGCCACCGAATCCGCAGAGGTACGACGATTGGCTTTTTGGCGCCACGACTGTAGACGACACGCACGCAAACCATGTAGACGGCGGCCCAACGATCGAACGACAGCAGCCTGCTGGCCACTGGGACACACTCGCACGCGTGTTCGACGATATAATATGACTTTTGGCAACGAAAACGTATGAACGTTAATTTGACCACGGGAAAACGACGAAAATAATTTAACAGACGTCCCTGCGGCGCAGATCAACGATGTCGTGTAATGTTTAATGAGTGAATCACTGAATCGTATCGTGTATATTATGTAAGTTTAAGCGGTATCTTAACTGACCGACAGCGGTACTCCGTACCTATTTCCGTATGAAGCGAATAATATCCGGGTCGAATGTCGATGTCACGTTATCACGAATACGATTATTATTACCGCGACACAAAGCGTACACGCCGTTTTGGTTTTTATTTTTAGACGGTTATAATAATAATAGTAATAATTTATAAATATATTCACGAAGGCAATGTTGAAATACACTCGAACGTATGCATAGACTGGCGGCGGACGAGGTCTAGACGGTCGTGGAAAACATGCTCGTTTGCGCCATAGTCGTCGATACTCGATACACGCGGATAACCAAAGTGCTCGAGTGTGTGGGGGGGGGTGTATGTCGGTGATGTGACGACAACGGCGGTGGCGGGAATGGGGAACCCTAGTCTGTCGATTGGGCGGGGCAAAGAGGCGAAAAAAAGGAGGAAAATAATAATAATAACAATAATAGTAATAGTGATAAT